TGAGCCGGGAGCTGAGTTACCCATCTGTACTTTTGCAGCTGTCTCGAAAGGCTTCTCGGCATGGAGCTTTCGGGAACCGTGTACGTGAACCCTACTGGGGTTTAGGGTTCACCTAGTAAGGATAAGGGGGACCCTTGAAATGGAGCCCTTCTGAACCCTCTTCTGGCTCTCTTAAACAGGGACCTTATTCAGAGGGTCCCCATCCCCTGGGTTCAGGGTGTAGGGTTTAGGTTCATGGTCCACATGCCCGGGTAGGGATTAGAGAAGCTGTGCAGTGACAGTGCTGGAGTACCCTGAACTTCTCGAAGTTACTTGTTTTCAATAGCCCCACGCACCGAGAGCAGCCGGGATGTCTAAATGGTTTCATATGTCTTCAATCCGTTTATCGCAAGGGCCCGACCAAGCCAAAGCTAGATGTTGTCCCACAAGGGGTACTTTTTGATCGACTTCGCAATGATGTGCATGGTTGTTGCACAGCCGAAGCTTAACTTAAGAAGCTCTGGGCATTGGAGTGACTGGATGTCGCTAAACCCTAAACCCTAAACACCACAAGAACATGAGCCCTAAACCCTAAACCCCAAACCCCAAACCCCAAACCCTAAACCCTAAACCCTAAATCCTAAACCCTAAACCCCCACCCCCCCCACTTCATTTCCAGCTGGGCCTGGCGGGCGAGGGAGGCTGTCAGGTCTCGGTCGAGTCCCTCGAGTTCTGTCTCTGTAAGGGTTTAGGGTATGGCATGGTGGGCTCAAAAGGGTTTAGGGTTTAGGGTTTAGGGTTTAGGGTTATTCAAGATCACCGAGTAATGCCCGCCAGTTCGTTGGTGTTCTGGCTGTCAGTGTACATAGGTAGTTCTCTAAATCAGGGGGCCCTATACAATCCGTCACCTTATAAAAGGGACTCCCCAAAACGGACGCTAGTGTGGAGAACGACCCGCTTGTTCGGCCCAAAACGGACTCTAGTTTGGAGAACGACCCGCCTGTTCGGCCCAAAACGGACGCTAGTTTGGAGAACGACCCAAGGCAGGTGGCCCCGTCCCCCACCGCCCCCCTCCCCCCTCTCGCTCCCCCCCCCCCCCCCGGGTCTAAAGCAGTTTATAAACAGATTTCAATACACGTGGATATATTATTACTATTGTTATTATTATTATTATTATTATTATTATTATTATTATTATTATTATTATTATTATTATTATTATTATTATTATTATTATTATTATTATTATTATTATTATTATTATTATTATATATATATGTAGTAGGGCCGAGTTTCTTACAGATCCACTCCAGGTTCCACACGCAGAGCAACTGCGATGCCTTGGCTGCAGGCCACCCGATTGCCAGCCCGGTCCTTAGAACAACAGGCCTTGGGCTTTATAAGGGGTTTATAAGGGGTTTATAAGGGTTTATAAGGGTTTATAAGGGTTTTCAGGGTTTATAAGCGTTTATAAGGGTTTATAAGGGTTTATGAGGGTTTATGAGGGTTTATGAGGGTTTATAAGGGGTTTATAAGGGTTTCTGAGGGTTTATAAGGGTTTATAAGGGTTGATAAGGGTATATAAGGGTTTATAAGGGTTTAGGGTTTATGGTTTAGGGGAGCCTGTGGAGGGTTAAGGGTTTTGGGCTTTTTGGGGCTTCGTGGATCAAGCGAGGTCACGCCCATGTTCCTGAGTTTGTGTGATAGCTCCTGCGGAGCTGGCCTAAGACACTCGGTCAGATTCTGGGGGTTTTTTTCCTTGCACTAACAGTCCTTAATAGGGACAATAGTACCCCATATACAATCCCCATGAAGGACCCTTGAAAGCTGATGCATGAGGGTCGCGCATAGCGGATCTCTCAGCTGAGTGCGCCAAACGGCTTGCGGGGATTTTAACCCTAAACCCTAAACCCTAAACCCTAAACCCTAAACCCTAAACCCTAAACCTTAAGATGGATGGGCTGGGGGATGTTTGAGAGGAGCAGGCACGTTCTGTGGTCGTCGAGAATCGTACTCTAGTCTGGGATGCCCCGTATATGGGGTATTTAGGGTTTAGGGTTTAGCACCTTTTTGCGGATCATAGGAACCCCCAAAATTGGGGGGTTTTGGGTTTTGGGTTTAGGGCTACAAACTTGTATATTCCCACACCCAAATGGGGGTTTACGACAGTAGGGGGTGACTTATTGGGGTCCTTGTTATAAGGGGGATCCTACTAGTCGGGGGTCTATACCGTGGTCCCCTATTTTCGTAGGCCCCGTTTTTTGACTTGGTAGCCAGTGGTACCCTTTACCCCCTTTTTGTTGGTTCTGAGTTCCCTGATAAAGTAAATAACCTGAAATTCTTTGAGAAATTCTAGTGTTTTGGAGCCCGTTTCTCGAAAACCCTAAGAGCGAACCCTAAACCCTAAACCCGAAACCCTAATCCGCTCTGCTTAGCGGGCTTCGCCCTGAATACTGCCTGCAAGGCTGAATTTACGCAACAACCCCATAGGATGGGCTCCTGAACATGAGCCCTGAACCCTGAACCCTAAACCCTGAACCCTGAACCCTAAACCCTGAACCCTGAACCCTAAACCCTAAACCCTACCCCTTACAAACCGCAATGATCTGGGAGCCCGAGGCTCGCAGCTTCCTACGCGCCCGGCTGAGCGACGCCCTCGGCATGCGGGGGTCGGAGAGTCGAATGACTCGCCGAAGAGCTAGGGTTTAGGGTTAGGGTTTAGGGTTTAGGGTTTAGGGTTTAGGGTTTAGGGTTTAGGGTTTAGGGTTCAGGGTTTAGGGTTTAGGGACACTCAAGGAAAGAGCCATTGGGGTTTCGGGTTCAGGGTTTCATTAGGGTTTAGGGTTTGGGGTGTAATTTGGGTTTAGGGTTGAATGAAGGGTTTAGAGATTAATTGGGGTTTATAGGGTTTAGGGTGTAGCCAGGGTTTACGGTTTAGTGCTAGGGTCTGGCTTGATCTGAGAGTTTGGCACCTGTAAGATTCCGAAAACCCCGACAGCCCTGAAGTGCGAAAAGCCCAAAAACGAGTCACTCCTGCTGCTTTGGCAGGCCCTAAACCCAAAACCCCTAAACCCTAAGCCCCTAAACCCCCTAAATCCTAAAGCCCTAAACCCCTAAATCCTAAAGCCCTAAACCCCTAGACTCCAAAACCCTAAACCGCAGTAGGCCACAAAGAGCGATCATTTTCTTTTTCTTTTTGCGGGTTTTCGCCCGCCCCGGACACTTGTTTAGCCGAACTAAGCACAAGGAATGCCTTCGATGGCAACTCAGCCACCGACAGCGTCCCAGTCCCAGATGTCCGGTTTTGGGGGGTTTAGGGCTCAACCCAGAACCGAAAACCCTTCATAAACCCTAAACCCACGTTGAAAAGGGTTACCCAACCTCCCCTACGCCTTTAGCAGAGTCAAAGGAAGGGTTTGGGGCGGGGGGGGGGGGGTGTTTCTGGGTACGCAAAGCGCTTGTTTAGGGGTGCTGGGCTGGGGGGGGGGTGTTTCTGGGTACGCAAAGCGCTCGTTTAGGGGTGCCGGGCTCTTGCTACTGTACCCTGATGGTATCCCCCTTCCCCGAGCTCCGAAGCACTGAAGCTCAACAACCACACTACTTGTGACGAGGCCAAACCCAGACGTCCTCAAAACCGGCCTTACACTCTAGACCCTGAAATTCCTAAACCCTAAACACTAAACCCTAAACCCTGAATTTCCTAAACCCAAAGCCTAAACCCATCCCAAACTGCTGGAGACCTCAAGGCAGCCTCTAAGGACCCAACAGACTCGAAAGATCTCACATTGTAAACCCTAAACCCTAAGCCCTAAACCCTAAACCCTAAACCCTAAACCCTAAACCCTAAACCCTAAACCCTAAACCCTAAACCCTAAACCCTAAACCTACACCCTCAACCCTGAACCCTACACCCTCAACCCTGAACCCTACACCCTAAACCCTAAACCCAAAGCCCCAAACTCCCTGGAGCGATCCCAAAGTTCTGGAATCCTAACTCCGATCCTCAAAGCATGGACAAGCAGTCAGCCAGGTCTTAGGTGCTGAGTAGGGTTTAGGGTTTAGGGTTTAGGGTTTAGGGTTTAGGGTTCAGGGTTTAGGGTTTAGGGTTTAGGGTTTAGGGTTTAGGAGAGTAAGTAGCCTTTAGTTATTTGGTGTGCAATGAACCCTTCATCCTTTCCCCTCGAAAACTCAGTAACACGCAGGCGTGGGTGGCGGGCTGTCCCCAAGAGGGCTGCCCCCCAGGACAATGGTGGGGCACTGAGATTGGCGCTCATCTTAACCCCAAGTGTTTAGGAAAAGAGTTAGTTTATCCATGCTTTTGCTGTGGTGATCTGGCATAAAGTCGCGACTACATTTTGGTTAAACACAGATACGTGCAGGGTTTAGGGTTTAGGGTTTAGGGTTTAGGTTTTAGGGGTAGTTGTAGTTGATGCGAGATGTATATCTCGCGTGGGCTTCAGCTCTGAGGACGGCGCAAACCATGCCTCGATTCTGAAATGATAGGGCATTGTCGGGTCTTCAAAGCGTCTATGGTTTAGGGTTTGGGGTTTGGGGCTTGGGGTTTAGGGTCTATGTGTAAAGTTTAAACCCTACCTATAAACCCTAGGAGGGGACGTCTTTTCGGTTTGCAGGGGAGGCCCCAAGAAGAAGAGGCACGAGTGGACCATTGGAGCATGAGCGTGCGATTGCGGCGCACGAGTTTCGAGGAAAAGGCCACCAGAAGATACTGGTTAGGTTCTTGGGTTTAGGGTTTTCTGTCTGTTTAGCAATGAAATAGTTGGAAATCTGACCGCGGTAGCAACGCATACTTGAACTCTTGGCAAGGATTGCAGCAGTTGTTTTTTGCTTCACATGCAACAGGATAGGGCTTTACATCTTTCAAGTGCATGGACCCAAGCAGGGTTTAGGGTTTAGGGTTGAGGGTTTATGGTTTAGGGATTAGGGTTGAGGTTTTATTAGATTTACCTTGTGAATCGTGCACCCCAAGTTTGTTACATAGCAGCTGCCAGTTCGAAGCATCCATGGCCACCCGTGCGCCGGAGCCGTCGTCGCAGGAGGAAGACGACAGCGATCGTTGGTCTTCTTTTCGGACCGAGGTGGAGGATGAGCATCAGGAAGACCTGAAGCAGCTGGATCAATGGATGTTCTTGTGCATTCCAGATGCAGACGCCGCAGCGGCATTTAGCAAGATAGGGGTCGGAATAATTGCTAATAATATTCCCTTATGGTCCCTTTATGACCCCTATGTTAGCTGGATTTGGCCAGCGATCCTTTCAAGGCATTCCCGCTGGTCAGGGGCAGCTGATGTATGGGGGGACGGGGTCTTCAGACTTGAGGTCCATATTCAAATATCCCAAGAATGTCAATCAAATCATACTGGCACAAGATAAGAGGGTTTTGGGTTCAGGTTTGCGGGTTTAGGGTTTAGGGTTTCGGGTAAGGAGACCTGCTGCAAAATGGGTTTAGGGTTTAGGGTTTAGGGTTTAGGGTTTAGGGTTTAGGGCTACGAATCCATATAGGAGTGCTTCCCGAAAAAAAGCAGCCGAGGATGGAGGCGGCACGCCCAGCACGGCAAAGCACGTGGCGCGGGCGCGGGACCAGCTGGCCGAAGCCTGCTTTAGCAACAGGCCCGATGTTCCTTGGGCATCTAAGCAATGGGGGTTTAGGGTTTAGGGTTTAGGGTTCAGGGTTTAGGGTTTAGGGTTTAGGGTTTAGGGTTTAGGGATATTTCAACATGCCCGTTATGGGCATACCCTTAAAAGTAGATTAAGGTTCCTTGGACCTAAGAACTCTTCCCAACATACCCCTTGGGCATGCCCTGAAAGGACATTAAGGGGTATGGTAGAACCCTAAACCCTAAACCCTAAACCCTAAACCTTAAACCCTAAGCCCTAAACCCTAAACCCTAAACCCTTATATGATCCTTTTTCTAGGTGGCCACAGGCCCGATGTTCCTTGGGTTTATAGGGACCATAAAGGAGGGACCCTTGAAGGACCTTAGGGGTTCTTTGGGGGTTATTTAGGGGCTGCTTAGGTATATGGGGACTATACGGTGACTCTAATTTACCTACAGTTTAGCAGGTAACTACCCTTAATCAGTAGGAATAACCCATAAAAAAACAGTAGGTAAAGGGGTCCCAGGCAAGAAACATTGAACATAGCCCTTGCGCATACCCTGAAAAGAAATTCAGCAGTTTGGTTAAATCCCCCCGGTGAGACTACCGTTTTTTCTCCGTTTCATAGGCAGCAACAGGCAACAGGCCCGATGTTGCTTGGGGAGACCAAGTATGAATGCCAGAGGGTTTATGGTTCATATGACTTATGACCCTAACAGGCGTTATCTTAGTATGGGGCTAAACCCTATACACTCAAAAAAACTCTAAAAAAGCCCTGAACCCTAAACCCTAAACCCAATTGGGGGTATATGACCCCCGAATTCTAGGGGTCAGAAATCTGTCCCCAAGGTTGCGCGGAAGGCTCTTCGGTGCCTTCAGCGCGTCTTGGCCAACTCGACCGTGGGCGACGCTGACGTCGCGTTGCTTGGAGACGAAAGAGTTTAGGGTTTAGGGTTCAGGGTTTAGGGTGGTCACGTTCCCTGGATGAACCCCAAATGCCCCATACTATTTTATTAACCATCCCTACTAAGGTGTATGAATTATGCACTGTACTACTAGCATCCTGATGAAGGTAGATGAGTTGGTCAATTATGCACTATACCACGAGAATCCCTACTAAGGTATAATATGATGGGGGTCATTCTACCCTAGGCTACTAGAGAATCCCCATGGAAGGTATATGATTTGGGCTCATAGACCCCTCTTATGCTACTGCAACTCCTATTCAGGCAACATGAACCATGAGCCATGAGCCCTTTAGGGTTTAGGGTTTAGGGTTTATTCAGGCAACATGAACCTATGAGCCATGAGCCTATGAGCCATGAGCCCTTTAAAGGAGTCCATACTTGATCTCCCCTTGAAAGGTTTGGCTTGGTCTCCCTGGCCAAGTACTTCATGTCACATCTCTCCGATGAGCACATCGAGAGCCTTGGGGACGAAATGAGCCCTAAAATTGGGTTTAGGGTTTAGGGTTTGGGGTTTAGGGTTTAGGGTTTAGGGTTTAGGGTTCAGGGTTCAGGGTTTAGGGTTTAGGGTTTAGGGAATATACCCTGACTACTATAATTCCTATTAAGGTAATATGAACCATAAACCATTTTAGGGTTCATAATTCGTCCCCAAGGAATATGCCGCAGAACTTGCGGATGGCCATGACTCGGTGCATGTTCTCCATACTGGAAGCCGTTGAGGCGGAATGGCTCATCGGCAATTTGCCTTCCATTTCCGCCAGTACACGGAAAGACATCTACGAACTCTGTGAGAGGATTGAGCACCTTGGGGCCGAAATGAACCCCCAAAATTGGGGTCATATACCCTGCCTACCAGAATCTCTATTCGGGACAAAGGTGAGCCCTAAACCCGTTTAGGGTTCATATGTTGTCCCCAAGGCAGTTCACCTCCCAAGCGTCAAAGCGCGACTACGTGTCCGGGTTGAGTGGCGATGCATCGGATGTCTTGGCGAACCTCTGGCTGGAGACGCTGCTTCAGCTGACGCATCGTACCTTGGGGACCAAAAATGAACCCTAAGAATTGGAGGTCATACATAGCCTGACTATCGGATTTCCCATAAAAAGGTAATGTGAACCCCTAAACCCTTCCTCTTCAGGTAATACGAAGCCCTAAACCCTGTTTAGGTTTCATAATTTGTCCCCTTAAGGTTTTAAGGTTCATAGTTAGTCCCCTGAAGGTAATATGAAACCCTAAACCCTAAACCCCAAACCCTAAACCCTTCACCCTAAACCCTAGGGTTCATAAGTTCGTCCCCTTAAGGTATGAGCCACATGAGCAGTCGCGACGCCATGCTTACTGCCGTCGCTCAAGGGGCAAAGGCTCTTGGCGCGACCATTCAACTGTACCTTGGGGACTAATTGTGAACCCTAAAAGGGTTTAGGCTTTAGGGTTTAGGGTTTGGGGCTTTAGGGTTTAGTGTTTAGGGCTTAGGGCTTAGGGTTCATTTGGTCCCCAAGGTACCAGGGGAACGTGGCGGCAGGACTGGGCCAGTTTCTAGGCTCGGCCAACTTGGGAATTTTGTTTTAATTAATTTTTTTTGTTTTTAGAGTTTTTCCCTTATTGGGGTTTCAGAGGATCATATTACTGGCCATCCTAGGTTCATGGAGATCTACAAAGAGTCGGCGACATCGGCCAAGGAGAGTTGGTTTGAGTCGGTGGTGTTGCTGCGTGGTCTCATGTTCGAGGCGCTGAAGGACGAAGTCACTTTCCGAAGGTTGAAGAACCTTGGGGAGGAATTCTCAACGCTTTAAAAGGGTTTAGGGTTTCACATGACCTTAGCTGGAATAATGGTATGAAACCCCAAAAGGGGTTTTGGGTTTTCATGTGACCTGAAAGTGGGAATTATCGTAGTTTAGGGTATATGGACCCCAAATTGTGGGTTCATTTGGTCCCCAAGGAACATGGTTCGTTCCGGACTGGTCAACTCCCTGTTGCATGAAGATGGCAATTCTCCAAGCTGGTTCCCATCGACGCTGGGCCCCTTGGCCGGAAGTTACCCTAAACCCTAAACCCTAAACCCTAAACCCTAAACCCTAAACCCTAAACCCTAAACCCTAAACCCTAAACCCTAAACCCTAAACCCTAAACCCTAAACCCTAACTGTTGTCACAACACGAGCCCACCGCGGTCCTTTCTATTCTAAGGTTGGAACCATGGAGTTTGGTCCCTTGAAGTATGGGCCCCCTTATTAATATTCTTATTATTATTGTTGTTTTATTGTTATTTTATTGTTATGATTATTATTATAAATATATTTATATATATAGTGTATATAAGGGTTATGTAACAAGGGACCCAAATCAGGGGGGTGGTGTACCTGCACGCCACGCAACCAGACGGGATTGAGCCGACACAGAGGTAGCGCCGGCTGGGGTCCTTCGAAATGCTTACAATGGTATGGGTAGCCCGCGAGAAAACTTCAAAACAAATTTCCCCCGTCAATCTCATCTAGGAAAAAGCGCTTCCGTACGTTACCCCTGCCCTTTTTTTCAGGCTAAGCATCGCAGCATGCTGTTTTGGCATGCCACGGCTTTTGTAAGTGGGTTTAGGTTTAGGGGTTAGGGTTTGGTTTGGGGTTTAATTAAAGGTGTAGGGTGTAGGGTTTAGGAGCTCTCCGTCACGATCCTCAGGAGCTTCAGTGGAGCAGAAGCCCCGGCTCATGATGCACTTCATTCTCGGCCTGCAGCGGCTGATCGAATCGGGTTGCACGGACCATGTCCGGAAGGAGTCCTTCATGCTGATCGTCGACTTTGTCCTCAGTGAGTCGCCTTACTTGCAGTTCACTGCAGCTCAGGTACTCGAGCATCTTACTTCGCCTTTAGTTGACACTTTAAACTTTTTGGACTTCCTTATTTTTCCTAGGAATAGTAAAGTTTAACCCTTTATTTTCCCCTTGGGCTATTGGAGAAGTAAGGCATCTTGGCGAATCGGATGGATCAACTTCCGATGAAGTGAAGCCGGTCGCCAAGGCGCTCCTTGTGATTGTGGAGTACGTCGTGTTCAGCCAGTCGCTCTATCCCAGCCTGCGAGATCCCTGGAAAGCAACATGAACCCCTAAGAATTGGGGGTCATATACCCTGACTACGATCATTCCCATTAAGGTAGTATGAACCATAACTTAACCCTAAATCCTAAACCCTAAACCCTTTTAGGATCCATAGTTGGTCCCCAAGGATTATTCAGCTCGACTCCGTGCGCAGCGGGAGGGAGAAGCAGTGACACCACCAGATCCCATTTCGAACTATTTTTTCAGTGTCTTCGTAGCCCAGTGGTGCCCTTTTCCATTTTTTTGGTTCAAGGTTCCCTTATAAAGTAACGATACCCCCCCAAAAGGGTGCCCTTATTATAATATGGTTACTGGGCTATCCCTAAACCCTAAACCCTAAACCCTAAAAGGGCCAGCCGAGAGGTGTTGTCCTATATGCCTTTGGAAAGCTGAACGATGGCAAGCCGGCCAAGGGCGGAAGTATGGTATCCATCGCCAGTGGATTGAGCTCTCGTCATGCAGGCAGCGCGTTTCTCAGCAAGTCCTTGCTCTAAGGAGCTGAGGGTTTAGGGTTTAGGGTTTAGGGTTTAGGGTTTAGGGTTTATAGGGTTTAGGGTTTAGGGTTTAGGGTTCAACCCAGCGACCTAGCGACCGAGAGTCCCAAGGCAGAACTAGGGCGTCTTGTGCAGGCAAGGTCATGGAGGCCGTGAAGAAAATCCACGTCCGCAGCCGCATGCTCGACGAGCTGACGCGCGTGGATCCCGAAACCAATCTGACGCCACTGCACCAAGCCTGCCAGAGTGGTGTCGTCGAGAATCTGGGTCATTGTTGAAAATCCTCCTACATGTTTGATGAATGCTTAGAGCTAGTAAGGAACAAAAACGATCATTTTCGAAGTAGCGCCCCAACAATGCTGCAGGAATGTGCAATGGATGCTCCAGCTGGCAGGCCTGATGTCTGAACCCCCCAGACCACTCCTCTCCAGGTACTGTGCAACTTATCTGGGGACCAATTGTAAACCCTAAAAAGGTTTGTGGTTCCCTTAACCCCAAAGCCTAAACCCTAACCCTTCGAGCCTCTAACCCTTCAGAGCGTGATGTCCCCAGCATGATCCTCTCTTTTAATTTTATGCTGGCTTTAAACGCACCCAATTCTTTGTCGGACAACAGTCATTTCCGGTATTGGTCCTGGAGTGGCCTGAGTGTCAGCTAGGCGGGTGGCAAAAAACAACCATAGACCTTACTGGGAATGTAGTAGTTATAGGGTCTATTGTTAGGGATCATGTGGTAGTGTGGACGTGTTGAAACAGCTCCCACCCGACAACTCGCCTGGGACCATTGCACCACCACAAGCCTGTAAAGTAAGGTTTAGGGTTTAGGGGTTTAGGGGTTTAGAGGTTTAGGGGTTTAGGGGTGTAGGGGTTTAGGGGTTTAGGGGTTTAGGTTTAGGGGTTTAGGGGTTTAGGGTGTAACAGGAAAGCTTTGCTTCCACCACAGGGTGTGCCGCAAGAACCCAAAACCTACCTTTTTTGCAGGTTCTGATTATCCCTGGTAGTTTTCTTGGGCAACCAGGTTTTGGGTTCTTCAGATTCGATCAGATGCGGAACTCGCATCTTTTTGAAGGGAGAGGGTGCGCTCACCCGGTAGAATCTCGACACACCCTAAACCCTAAACCCTAAACCCTAAACCCTAACCCCAAAACCCTGAACCCTAAACCCTAAACAATAAGTTGATGTGACCATCTTCCGGGGTTTCTGCCCTGTGGCAGCCAGGGGCCTTCAGTCTTTAGGGTTTAGGGTTTACAGGGCTTAGGGCTCAGTTTTTAGGGTTGAGTTGAGGGCTGCGCTTGACTTGCAGGGGACAACGTGGAGCAGCTTGTCCGGAGCAAGCTGGTGTCAGATGACGATTGGCTTTCCGGGAGCCAGCCGATCCACCTTGCTGGGAGCATTGAGGCCCCAAACCAGGGCCCCCTCCCCACTGTCAATCCTTATGCCTTACACTCCCCAACCCTCACTCCAGCAGCCCGTGCTACAATTGTGTGAGCCATATCCGGGCCCCAAGATTGCGAGCCATATGAGCATCCTTATATTCCCTCACCCTCAGCCACACACCCTGCGGGAAATCAGCCGGGGCCTCATGTACATCAACAGTTGCCACACTTCCCGTGCTTGCTGACCTGGAAATGGGTTGTAAGTGTCAACAAACCCTAGGGTAGCTGCGCTTCAAACCCAGTAGCCAAGCATCTCCAAGAGAGCTGAACCTAAACCCTAAACCCTAAACCCTAAGACCCCTGTGGAGGTGTTGGAGCTGCTCCTCGACAACCGCGCGAACCTTCGTGCCAGAACCTTGGTCCAAATGAACCCGAAAAGGGTTTATGGTTCTTAAGCCCTAAACCCTAACCCTTAAACCCCATATACCTTCATCGGAATTATAGTTTTTTTTCAGGGTATATGACAGTATATGACCCCAATTTTAGGGTTCATCATTGGTTTTCAAGGAACCACCACGTACAACACCATCTTGCACACGCTGCAGAGCGCGACAGTGCTTGACTACGTCCTTGAGAACAAGAAGTCGGAGCTGGAGGATGCTCAGGAGAGGACCCCATTCTTCAACAGCCAGTCCCAGCTATTTTCTGAGAGCAACTTCGTAGGAGAGTAGGCACCCTTTTAACCTTTTTGGGGTTAATATATATTCCCCTTAGAATCCCAAAGGGTTCACCTTCAAAACCCCTATAAGTACTGGACAGCTAAGGTAATGAGAGATTTGACCTCAAAGAAGCCCAGGCGGGCAAGGAGGGACAGGATGAGGAGGAGGAGGAGGAGCAGGAGTACCCACCCGTCTACATCGGAACCCCAAACCGGCACCACATGAGCCCTCTCCTCCGCACGAGAAACTACGAGGTGACGAGGTGTTTGATCAAGCATCTCATCAAGCACAGCGCGAACATCAAGGACGCCAAGACCGGATGCCACGCTGGCATGACGGCTCTGATGTTTGCTGCACAGCAGGACCACGCTGGCGCATGCAAAGCGCTGATTGAGTATGACCCCGGTCTCATCACCGGCGAAGACGGGAGAGATCACCACGATCGCACCGTGTTGTGGTATGCAGGCACGCGGTCCCTACCAGTGCTCATGAACGGCAGTAGAAACAAAATGTTCCTAGACAGAAAAGACGACCGTGGCGATACGGCCCTTTTCGCTTGTCATCATCCAGACATCGCACGCCAACTCTGCGAGATGAAAGCCAGCGTCCGCGGAGCCGACCATGAGAACGACCTGGGCCAAACCGCGCTGTCGAGGGCCTTCTCAGTGGGAGCAAGCACCCAGTACGTGCCTTGGTAGCCCCGAGGTAGCCTTTTACTTTTGTT